AAAAAAAAAAGAATTATAATAATGGCGGCTATGTATGTGTCGGTGGTCCAAGCACCAAATTGATTGTGAAAAATGGGCTCTTCTTCCATTGGCCACGGATAATTGAGTGGCTTATTAGCATGCGATTTTAGTGTTTGTCATATCTTAAGACTATAATGTCCACTTGTCCCCATTGCTTTTTCTAATTTCTCATTTTTCATATATACAAATGTATACATCTTTTTATTAAATTTTAAATATTTAAAAATTATATTAAATTTTAATTAATTTAAAGTTGAATTGTGACAAATTTTATAAGAAAAGAAACTCTCTCAACACCATGGTAGAAATCAGTCCAATTGAGAGAACCTAAGCCCCATCAACAACCGATCATGTCCACCTACATCTAGCTGCCTCTAAGAAGTGCATCAGTGACCCCTTAAAGAGCCTACACTCAATTTGCCCACCCTTGTCAATTGAGGACGCAACCTATCTACTACAATCATAATTTTTGGGAGTCCAATTGAGTGAGTCCCAAGCCCCATCGATAGCATCCTAGAATTTCAAAGACTGAGAATGATGACCAACAAGAAATTTCTAGTAGTTTATTAACTTCTTTAAAATTTTCAATGGTATTGTGACAAAGGGTGGGGAAGTAGAGGAAAAATGCAAGACAACTAGTGGACGAGGGGAAGAAAAAATAAGTGGGGATTTTGAATTCATCAATAACATCAATGGTAGCATGATTAAAGTAATATAAAATGAATGCATTTGATTTGGGATGTCTCAGAAATATTGCTAATTGAGGGCATAATGAAGATTGGGACTATGCATACCAAGCAGATGCCAACTCTCAACCAGATCTGCTTCTCCCTCGTTATTGTTTTCCAACAAATCAATGAAATATGCAATGGCAAAAGGGACAGTGATATCATTGTATTCTATTCCACAGCAAGAATTTTTCTTGCAGTCTGTTTGGAAACGGGAATACACTATGGCTAAATGAATAGCTGCTGGCTCAAGATTTTCTGACCGTTGAGTATTAAACTGGTGGGTGCAAATATTAGTATTCTAAAAGTAAAAGATAATAAATAAATCTAAAATATCTAAAAATAATAGATAAAACAAAAAAAAAATACAAAAGTT